CTGCCTCTAGCCCCGCTGGGGCTCGGTGTCTGCGTTTGGGCTTTGCCCGGATGTGGCTGCGTCGGGGTAGAAATTCCCAGAACTGGGCAGCCCCTCTACGCCTAAGCTTCCCCACGCGATCGGACGCTGACGCCCTTCCCAGGCCGCTGGGGCTGGAACGGCAGCCTGGAAGGGGGTTGCAGTTTCTCAGGCTGGGCTGGGTCTGACCCAAGGGCTGAAGGGGAGGCCAGGGGTGAGAAATCCCCCCTGTCCCTCCACTGTACACGTTTGCTGGGCTACTCGGCCCTCCTCACTCTTCCTGTGTCTGCCCACAGGTTTCCTGTCCTTCTACAACGCTCGAACCAAGCAGCTGCTCCATACGTTCAAGGCCAAATTCACCCAGCCCGTGCTTCCTGCCTTCATGGTAAGGGGCTGTTCACGGGGTGGGGGTGGAGGACACTGTGGCTTGGGGCTCTGGAGAGGAAGCTGGGGTCCAGACGCTCTCCCCGCCCTGGTCAGGAAGGGTTACTGCATGAGCCCAACCCTTGGGGTAGTAGTGGGGGTGGGAAAGGAGGAGGGTGGACCCCACTCCAGCCCCTCCCCCAGGAGGGCTCACTTTGCCTTGTTTCTGTCTCGTTTTCTGGGCCGGGGTCAGACCCAGCGCCCAGCAAAGCCCTCAGATGCTAGAGACGAGATTCAGATGGCCCAGCTGCCTCTGCTGGGACACTGCTGTGGGGGGAAGCTCGCAGCACCCGAAGGCCCAGCTGTCTTAGAATAGGCATAGCTCACCAGACAGTCTGCTAGCTTGGTGGCTATCAAACCGTGGTTTGCCGGCGGACAGCGAATAAGAGGGGAGGTTTCTACGGGCCAGTCTCTGACTGGTAATAATAATGAGTTCGACGGAGTGCTTTCCTTTAGACCATCTCCATGCGCTTCACTGTCTTTAACGTATGCGAGGTGGACTGGGCTTCAGGAGACCTGCGTTCAAGTCCTGGCTCTGCCCCTGGGTGGACTCTGGGCAAGTCACTTTGCTGTTGCAGGCCTCGGTTTGCCTATCTGTAACATAGGGATAATCTTGCTTTGCCTCCCGGGGACAGGTGGGAGGTAAAAGCCATGGCCGGGAGCGAGGCACTCAGAGCGAGATACATACCTGGCTGCTTGACGCCTGCAGCCCCCCTTTCCCCTGGCTGTGGCACTCCCGCCCTCCACGCCTGCTGGGGACGGCGCCCTCTGCAGGTGGCTGCAGTAACTGCCTCCTTGTCCTCCCTAGGTTTGGTGCGGCAGCTTCCACGTCTATTCTGGACTGCAGGTCCCCAGCACTGTCAAATGCCTCCAGAAGCGAAACAGCGCCACCAGCAGCTCCAACGCCAGCCTGACTTAGACGCACGTGGCCCCCTGGCGCGGTGGGACCGGGCCACCTCCTGGCTCCCTGGACCCAGGGAAAGACGCACTGTGGCCTGTTGAGTTTTCTTTCCTCCCAGTTCCTGGAAGGCTGCTCGAGGCGGAGAGGCTGATGCTGCAGTGACTCGAACGCTCTGAATGTACCGAGACTTACCTACCTACGATTGTAAACCTCCCTCCCCCTCCCAGAGCATCCCTTCCCGCCTCCTCACACTTGCCTTTAAGAGACAGGGGCACGTCCACGAGCCAGCCTCATGCCGGGCACGTGACCGCCTTTAACCGCACCCCGGTCTCAAGTCCAGGGGATGGGGCCTCCTCCGGCTGAAAGCGTTGGGTGGTTTTTTTTTGGTCCTGGCAGTCGTAAAACCCGACGCTTAAAGGTGGTACCGGGAACGTGGGCACTCGTCTGCTTTTAGAGCCCGTTAGCCTCTCGGATGACAAAAGCTGCTTCTGGCCTTAATAATAAACCTAGCGCTAGGCATAGCCGTCCCCTCTGCTGTCTGGTGTCAGCTTGTGCTCGGGCGAGCCAGTGGCGGTCGGGGGCCAGGCGACGGGGAAGGGACGACGGCGTCTTTGCCCCTTGCTGCTCCCGCCACGAGGCACCGTTAAAATCTGGCGCTGGGCTGCCCGCATCATGCGGCAGCCTCACGTCTGGGGGTGGGGGAAGGGGGCAGCCCCCAGCCGAATCACTGGGTTCTCCCGAAATTCCCAGCGTGGGTCATTGCCATCCGCGGCCGTGCTCACCAGCCAGGACCCTGCCCCCCAAGCAGCTGGCCCCCAGCAAGGACGGGGGAAAGGCCTGATGTGGGGGGAGGGGCTGACTGCTGAAGGAGGTTTTACATCTAACCCCTCTGCATCACCCCCTGTAACGGAGAAGAGCTCAAAGCAACACCCCCACCCTGCTTGGCCTGGAGTGCAGGGCAGTAGCTTCCCACGAAGGGGTAACTGCCTCTCTCTGCGTTAGCCACAGTCCCGTCCCAGCTGCGGTCAGTGGAATAACGTTTCTCCCACTCTTCCATTTCAGGACCGTGGACGACTGGCGCGGGGATGGGTAGCTGGGGGGTTGGTGGCTGGCTGGGGTCGGCTCAGCTCCCAACCCAGGGGTCCTTTGGGGCAAAGTTTCAGCAGGGGCAGGTGGCGCAGGAGAGTGGGCAGAGGGTTTCCAGGCTGGGCGCCGTCCCGCTCTGGTGTGTGTAACCCCTGCAAGGGATCTGCAGCCGTTAGGGCCCGGAAAAGCCCTTTCGGTGCAAAACCCAGCCCGCAGCCCCTCCGAGCTGAGTTACACAGCACGCCAAGCTGGAGGCCTTCCCGGGGCTCCAGACTGGAACTGCACAAGGGCCCGCCTGGCTGCATGCCAGTATTGACACAGGGCGGTGCCAGCCGGTCATGACCCCCTGGCACCCTGGTAAACAGACAGGCCAGCTCAGGGGTGGAGCAAGTCAGTGTGGACCAGCAGCGGGCAGAAGGGCAATAGTGAATTGAAGTACAGCCACACTTACCGTCCTGGGCAATACCTTGGCCCCACAGGAGTGAAGCCGCTTCCAAAATGATAATGCATGGAAAATAAACCCTTTTGTGTGTGGCCGCAGGGCCGAGTAGCCCCCCGCTGAAACCCACTAGTTAATCCGAATTACTGTTCCGGTACAGCGAGCCGTGAGAATGCAATCCGGGCCTTTGTTACTCAGACAAAGGGCTGGGCCCGTTGGCCATGGGCGCACTGCTTTGGAAATAAACAAGCTCGTCCTTTACGACGGAGCCGGAGCCTGCTGGCCTGGGACAGTTTTAGCATGCTGCATGACAGTGTAGACACGCCCCACCCCCGCGCAGCTGCCATGGCTAGCAGAGGGAACAGCATCTAAGTGCCAATTCCAGCTGCCCTTTGCCCCGTCACCCTGCAGAGGGCTGGTCTCTCCCACAGACGCTACCAGCCGGGGAGGGCAAGCGCTTGGTACTGTTGTGTATCAACCCTTGACCGCTGCAGCCACCGGCAGGGGCTTGGGGAACCTCCACTGCAGGGTGGCGGAGATGGCCTCCAAGGGGCAGGATGGTGCAAGGGGAACCCACTAAAGGATGTTTTATCCACTAAACCCCTAATGCCACCTAGTGAAAAACACACATCAAGGAGAAGAGATCAAAGCAACTCCCTGGCTGGTTTGCATCGTCCCTTTGGAATCCAGCAGGGTAAACCCACCGCCCCCATAGTTAACACCCACCCTCTGTCCATCCTTTCACAGCGACAGTCAAATCCTACCATGCCTAAAGCACCTTCGCAGTTAGCTCTTGCGTTAGTTAAGTCCCAGCGTAGAGCCTGGCTTTGGACCCGAAGGGGGAAACCCAAAAATTCTCAAGCGGGCCCCGCGCTGTTGGGTACCCAGCCAGAGGCAGCCGGCACCTGCTGTTTAAAAGGGCTGACTTCCACAGGGAGTCTTAGACCCTCTGAAAACCAAGCCCAAGCTGTCTCAAGTTGGGCACCCCAAAATCACGAGCGACTCACCCAAGGCCACAGAGCATGGCAGTGGCAGAGTCAGGCCTCAACGCCAGGAGTCTTGACGCCTACCCTCCTGCTCTAGCCTCTGCACCCAATCCCCTCTCCCCAGCCGACATGACCGCTACTGCAGGAAGCTGGGGCTAGCACAGCTTAGCACCGGCGAGTCGAGGGAAAACAGTCGCTTTTATTAGCAATGTATGCAAAGTGGGTAACAATCACACAGTACAAATCCCTTCCAAAGCACAGAGCTCCCTCCAGCCGGAGAGCCAACGAGCCCGTCCTCAGCTGGCGTACAGCACCGCCGCTTTCAAGGCACTACAAGTGCAACATACAGGATGGAGAGGGACGGGCCGTGTGGCACCAGGTCTAGCATCATGGCACACCATGGCACGTGCCAAAGACAAGCAGCCCAGGTCACTGCTTGGAAAAGTCCGGTGCACAGGCCAGGCCAGACTCTCTGGGCCTCTTCTTGCAGGGGTTAGCAGGAAGGGAAGGGAGGCAGCCTGCACAGATCAGAGATTGGCAGGGGGTTCAGGGATAGGCCCTTGCCTGGGAGAGGGAATGATTCATGGCTGAGGCTTTAAAGGGAATTTGACATTTGGAAAAATACTGATTCACCCTGAGAGGAACGAAGGAGCTTTTCCCCCCCAAAGGGAATTAGGAAAATTAAGGATCTAAATTAGCTGTTACTGCTCAAAAGAGATCTTGGAGCCATTGTGAATCATTGTCTGAAAACATCTGGTCAATGTGCAGCGGCAGTCAAAAAAGCTAAACAGGGTTAGGAACCATTAGGAAAGGGATCGATAAGAAGACAGAAAATCTCATAATATCACCATATAAATCCCTGATACGGACACATCTTGAATACTGCCTGCAGTTCTGGTTGCCCCATTTCAAAAACGATATATTGGAATTTTGAAAAGAGAGAGAGGGGCAATAAAAATGACTAGGAGGATGGAACAGCTTCCCTAGGAAGAGAGGTTGAAGAGACGGACTTTTCAGCTTGGAAAAGAGACGACTAAGGAGGGATATGATAGAAGGAAGTGTTATTTACCCCTTCACATAACACAAGAACCGGGGGTCACCCAGTGAAATTAATAGGCAGCTGGTTTGAAGCAAACAAAAGGAAATATTTCTTCACACACTGCACCGTCAACCTGTGGAACTCATCGCCAGGGGATGTGGTGGAGGCCAAAAGTATAACTGGGTTCAAAAAGGAATTAGATCCGTTCATGGAGGGTAGGTCCATCACTGGCAATCAGCCGAGATGGTCAGGGGCGTAACCCCATGCTCTGGGTGCCTGTAGCCTCTGACTGGCAGAAGCTGGGACTGGATCACTCACTAACTGCCCTGTTCGGTTCATTCCCTCCGAAGCATCGGGCACTGGCCGCTGGTGGAAGACAGGGTCCTGGGCTGGATGGACCATTGGGCGGACCCAGGCTGGCTGTTCTGATTGATCCGTGTGGACGCGGGGGAGGGACTGAGCAGCTCCCTGGAGTCCTGGGGCGTGTTGGCAGGGGCCACAAGACCTTCCCACGCATCACCCTGCCAGCACCCCCAGTTCCAAACAGGAGCTCCCTGCTGTACCAGCCCTGGGCCCCGCTCCCAGCTCGGCCAGTGCCCTCAGCTGCAGCCGCCCCTCCCCCGGTCCAGCCAAGGGGCTTCCCTAAGGCACACCTGTCAATGCACCCCACTTCAGGACTGCCCTGGGCTCCCCCTACATACAGCTTTGCTGATGCCTCCCCAAACCCAACCTGCAGCCCCCCTGGGATGCCCCCTGGCCAGCTGCCCCATAATTCTAGCTTGCAGCCCCCTTGGCATGCCAGCCACAGGTATGCCACTCCTGCCCCCCCAGCTCTGCCTTTGGTTTACCCTGCACTGTGAAACACCCCTAAGCAAACTGGGCATAGGAAGGCATCACCCATCTCCCCCGCCGCCCGTGCCGTTTAACCCTGAGCCGCAGCATGCAAAGGGCCTGGCCTAGGCCCATGAGTCTGAGCGCAGCACACAACCCCTGGCGCTTCCTCCCTGAGCTGGGGTCGGGATTAGCCCCTCGCCCACAGCCCTCCTGGCACGGTGGGAATCACATGGCTATTAAAAGTGCTCTGGCATTGCCCTCAGCGACCCCCTTGCTCTGCAGCAGGGCCAGGCGCAGCTGCCGGGATCTGGATTAGCTTCCTCTCTGGTGGCGAGGGCACCCAGCCGCGCCCAGATCCACCCATGGGGCATCTTTCCCTCCCTTTGGCACTTGTTGCTTGTCCAGGCACGTGGCACCCACAGCCCACATCCTACCAGGCTAAGGGGCAGTCACTCTGAGCCATGGAAGGGGGACAGCCAGGGCCCATGCGAGGTGGCAGCCTTGTCCCTAGAAAAATCACAGTGAAGGGCCCAGAGCTAAAGCTATCTCGGGGGGGCTGCCGTTGGGCAGAGGGTGCTGGGAGCCCTACAAACCCCTGTCTCACGGTGCTGGGAAAGGGCCAGAGAAGCAGGGCCGGGCCCTGGGTACGTGATCAACGCTGCACAAGAGCTGGGAGAGGTTGGGGGCCATGGTTTGGTTCCCCGAGAGGATTGGAACCCTGTGTCCCCAGCAGAAGCCTCCTTGCCCGCCAGGCCATCCGCGCAGGGCAGCAGGTCAGTTCTCAAGGTTGGCTCTTCGCTCCTGTAGCTTCCGCGCCAGCTCCTCGGAGATGTCTATGGGGAGAGAGAAGGTGGGTACAGAACCCCTCCGGAGCCGGGACTAGAACCCAGGGGTCCTGACTTGCCGTCATCAGCTCTAGCCACGAGACACCACCACCTACCAAAGCTGGGACCACAACCCAGGAGTCCTGGCTCCCAGCCCCCTGCTCCGGCCACACAGTAACCAGCAGTGCTACACTCAACTGAAAGCCACGGGCAATGGGCCACAGGCAGCCCCGCCTCTTGTGCCAGGGGGCCCCACTTACCTCCGCCCCACGACGTGGCCTGGCGGGGGGAGCTGCTACCATGTTTCCGTAGGTTGAGGGTGCTGCTGGGACTTCTGGTAAACTGGCCTTTAGTGGCTGGGTATAGAGAGTGCAGAGCTGGTCATCAGAGCATGGGAGCCCACGTCCTCGCCTCCTGCCCCATCCCGCTCCACCTCCCAGGCCGGAGATCCTTCCCAGGACTCGGCACAGAGGGTAGCCTGGGATCTGCTTGCATGGGTAGCCCTTGGGGAATCCTGCAGTGCATTGTGGGGGATGGGAGGGGGCGGCGAACCTGGGCGCTACGCCTGATGCCCTGGGCAAGTCACGTCCCTTTTTTGTGCCTCAGTTTCCCCCCCTCTGTACCACATGGCTGGTGATACCGAGGGTCTGTGTTTGTGGAGATCTACAGACAGGAAGTGCCGGAGGAGCACTTGGGGTTATTACCCACACTGCTGGAGGGAAGGTCTCACTTCAGACAGCTGTACGGGGCTCCTGGACGCCGGGGTCCCAACCCAACAGGGGCAAGTGAAAGTACCCTAGGGACTCGGGACAGGTCCCCCTTTATCTCCATCCCCCAACCCCCACCGGCTTTGAGCCCGCCCTGTACTGCGCCCACCCTGCTCCCCACTGGCCTGGCCAAGAGGCAGAGGGAGATGGTGGCAGAATGGGCTTTGCAATGGGGTTGCTTAGTCCCCGAGGTGCGATGGCCAGCCCCAGAGGCAGCCCCGTGGGGCATTCTCTGCTCCTGCATGAGCCAGTGGGGCTGGGGGAGGGGGCAAGTCGAACGGCTCCCAGGGCCTGAGCAGAGCCAGGTCAGGCCCCAAGCGACTGTGGGACAAACTGGGTTTATTCTGTTGGAACCTGCACCCCTCGCTGCCCCAGGGGCGTCCTCAGCGGCCGGCCGAGGGCTCGGGCATGAGCTCTGGCAAACTGACGGGAAAGGGGGGCGGTTAGAGCACAGAGGGTGGGGGGTGGAGAGCAGAGAACCCTGGGGGGCCGGGGGGGCACCGAATCAGCTGACAATGGCTGTACCTGGCTTGCCTGGCTCGCCGGTTGGTATAGGCAGCGCCTTGGTCTGGCCGCCCCCTCCCCAGATCACCTTAACGGCGCCCTCTGTGGTTGAAAACAAAAAGGGAAGAGGCTCGGTCCCCTGGCTCCTCCCAGCACATCCCCCCACCCTAACCCCCTAGAGCTTGTCCCTGCAGCCGGATGGGGAACCCACATCCGCCCCTGGAGAGAGAGGCCAAGGAACACCCGGATCCAAGTCACTTCTGAGCACTGGGAGCGTTTGGAGCTGGAGTCAAACTGAGCCGCCCGGGGCTATCCCTGAAAGCTGGGCTACGGGGTCAGCATCCTTGACCGGATGGGGGCCACCC